GTAGCGGCGGCGGCAGCGGTCCCCCCCTCACCCCCGGCTCCGAGCCAAACCCGGCACTATCTCCTTAGCGTCGTCGTCAGTTTTCTCCCCCCTCACCCCCAGCTCCGAGCCGATGGCCGAGTGCCGAGCTGCTCAGCCCTCGCCGCTCTAGCCCCCCCTCCCGGCTCGCCGCTTCCCTTCCAAGCGGCGGCGGCAGCCTCAGTCGCAGAGTATTCCGTGCGCATGCGCACGGAACGCTCTGGCACTTTTGGGGGATTTAAACATCCCCCGAAATTTTTCTCACCATTTAGGATTTTTGTGCACACGTGGGGACTGCCCCAGGTGTGCACAAACCTCTCCCTCCCCCCCAAGTGCCCCCAATGTCCGGATTTAAGGATCTGCACAGAGGGGGCCAGTTCACTATTAGATATATAGATATGAAACTGCTGGGTGAAGTCATCTGGAGATTTGGCTGAGTTGTCACCAATATACAGATGACACTCAACTCTATCTTGTGCTTCCAGTTGATCCCAGGGAGGCTGTAGAGACCCCAAACTGGTGCCCGGAGGCAGTTTTGATGTGGGCTAATAAATTGAAGCTTAATTGTAAGAAGAAGGAAGTGCTACTGGTGAGTGGAAAGTCTGACCCAGGATTTAAAGTGTCATCTGGTCTATATGAGGCTGTACCCCCCTTGAAGGAAAAGTCTGGGGGCGCTCTTGGATCCAGACCTACTGCTGCATTAGCTGGTGGCAGCTGTCTATAAAAGTGCATTTGACCAGCTTCAAGTAGTTAGCTAGCTACTAACCTGGGCAGGAAAGATCTAGTAGATGCACAGGATACATCCAGATTAGATTACTGCAATGCGCTCTATATAGGACTATCACTGAAAAAAATGCTTGGAAACTTCAATTGGTGCAGAATTGACTGGAATGGGTCATAGGATGGTCTTGGCCCATCTTCACTGGGTTCAAATTTATTTCTTAGCACAATCCAAGGTGTTGGTGCTGACATTTAAAGCAGTATCAGGTTTGGAACCAACATACCTGAAAGACTACTCAACTATGAACCTATCCAACCACTTGGGTAATCTCTGAAGGCCCTGCTTTAGGTGCCCCTGCCTTTTGAGATTAGGCAGGTGGTGATGCAAGAGATGGCCTTCTCAGCAGTGGTATCAAAACTCTGGAACTATATCCCCAAGGAAACTCCTCTGTCATCGTCTGTTGCCATCTTCCACCAGCAGGTGAAGACTTTTTTTGTTTCTTTTGGCATTCCCTCTGTGATAGTCTGATAAGAAAAAATATATACAGATGTGTGCTAGATGCATCTAGCACTCATCTGTATATATTTTTTCTTACCAGACTGTCTTGAGATTGTGTGTTACTCTTGTGGATTATTTCCTCTGTGATCCCTCCTTCCTACTCAATGTTTTTATATGTATTTTAGTTCTGGTTTTAATTGTTTTAAAGAATTTTCATTGGTTTTAAAGATGCAATTTTATTACATGTTTTAATTTGTTAGCTGCTTTGGTGGGCCTTGTTAGGACAGAAAGGCAAGGTATAAATTTTATTAAATAAGATAATAATAAAACTAGTGGCATGTTTTGTTTTAAACTACTCCTACACAATAACAGTTCCACAACCAGCAGAAAAGAAGAGTGGCCAAGGGACTGCCTCTACAAGAAGAACTAGAAAGTAGAAGGGTGTTTTTCACACAGGGACAGGCATATGATGGTTCCCCATGGCAGCTACCAATACAGCACGGCAACAATGGGACTTTCACATGGCAGGTTTCCCCAAAGTTTCCTACCTGTGTTCCTTGGTAGCAGCCACCACCCCACCAGGATTTTTCAGGTTTTTTTTAAAAAAATCAGCTAATTAATATTACTAAATCAATATAATATTACAACAATTCGTGTAACAGGTCCTCTGAATTCCTAGGTTTCATTAAAAAAAAAAAGGCTCTAAGCCTCTTTCACTGTAGGGCTCTGGCTTTCCTTGTATACGTCCGTTAACAAAAAGTGATAGAGACTTACTTTTTTCATATGAAAGCTAGAAATTCAGAGAACCTGTTACACACATTGTTACAATGGTATTCAGTTTTTGATTTAAAAAAACAAAAACAGCTCCACTGATGGCAGAGGGGGAAAATGGTCACTGAGGGGAAAATGACTGCCAGATGGATGGGATCAGAGAAAACCAGATTTTCCTGCCCTTACAACATCCATCCAGCCTTTGTTGTGATTTTGGGTGCAAAGCAGGTTTAGTAAAGATCAGGGGAAAGCTAGGGCAACTCCATGAGGCCGAATGCATAATACTGCTGGGAAGCAGAAAAAAACAACAACCCCACTTTCCAACAGCACTGAATTTGGGGCAAATAATCTATGTGGAAACGGCCAAACATAGCAAAGGATTTACACTCCCTAACTCTCAATGGGGGAAACCCACCTCACCCTCCTAGCACTTCTGCACATACCAAATAATTAAAAATAAATCTCATGAACTTCATTTAAATCTATCTGGATTAATATTTGTAGAGACAGAATTTGTTTCCCTGGAGCTAACCCATCTATGTTGATGGAAAGCATTTCTTTCAATGATTATTATTATTATTACTCACATTTTTATCCCGCCCTCCCCACGAGTGGGCTCAGGGCAGCTTACAACAAGGGCATCAAGTGCCAGTATAAACATTAAAATCAAAATAAAACTATCAGATTAATATTAATAAAGTGCTCAGTAATATTATTGCTTCAGTCAAATCAAGATGAAGGCTTGAGAATATTAACCCAGGGGATATTAACCCAGAGCCCATTTTGGTCCATCATGGTACTGTAAAAGTTTTATATTGGGCCGTCCTTCACGGTCGTTGGTGGATATGATAGTGGCGGCTCCTAATTAAAAGTCTGGCGGAAGAGCTCCGTCTTGAAGAGCTCCATCTTGCAGGCCCTGCGGAACTGTGAAGGTCCCACAGGGCCCTGATCTCCTCTGGGAGCTCATTCCACCAGGTAGGAGCCACCACCGAAAAGGTCCTGGCCCTGGTTGCCACAAGCCTGGCCTCTCAGGGGCCTGGAATCACAAGACGATGTTGGGCCCCCGATCGTAGTGCTCTCTGGGGTATGTATGGGGAACGGCGGTCCCTTTAAAGGTAAGTACCAGCACTTTGAAGCAGATTCAAAACGCTATTGGCAGCCAGTGCAGCGCTTTCAGCACAGGTCGGATGTGGTGCCATTTAGGGAGACCCATCAGAAGCCTGGCCACAGCATTCTGCACTAACTGCAGCTTACGAATCTGCGACAAAAACAGCCCCATGTAGAGAGCGTTACAGTAGTCTAATCTCGAGGTGACCGTCGCATGGATCACTGTAGCTAGGTTGCTGTGGTCGAGGAAGGGGACCAACTGCCGAATCAGCTGAAGATGGAGAAAGGCCAAGCCGGCAGTGGCTGCCACCTGGGCCTCCATAGTTAAGGAGGAATCCAGGCGCACTCCCAAGCTCCTAACCTCCAACGCTGGCACCAAAGGCACCCCATCGAAGGTCGGGAGAGGGAACCCCACTCCACGACCACCCCGACCCAGACACAGGACCTCTGTCTTCGCTGGGTTTAGCTCAGTCTAAGCCAACCAGCCATGGTCTATAGTGCCTGGTTTAGGTCTTCTGGGCTGGAGTCCGACCAGCCGCCCAACATCAGATAGAGCTGGGTGTCATCTGCACATTGATGACACCCAAGCCCATACCCCCGAGCAATCTGGGCAAGGGGGCGCATATAGATGTTGAGCAACATTGGGGAAAGCACAGCCCCTTGAGGCACACCGCATTCAAGTGGGTGCCTTTAAAGCCATTAAATGGCAAGCCCCTGTATCCCCACATCGGCGAGGCGGCAGGTCAGCAGCTGGTGGTCGACTGTATCGAACGTGACCGACAAATCTAACAACAGCAATACCGCCACACCGCCTCGATTCAGATGGCGCCAGAGGTAGTCAGTTAGGGCGACCAGCGCTGTCTCCGTCCCATGCCCCGGGCGAAAACCGGACTGGAAGGGATCTAAAGTGGGATTATTGTTGTTCTTTAAAGAGATACAAGGAAGGTAATGCTCACAGTGTCCATAAACACACTGCAAACCAAAGATACTGTGGGTTAAAGCAACCCCATATATCAGAAACATTTAGAGCCAGTGTGATGGTTAGAATGTTGACCTAGAATCCAGTAGATTTAGGTTCAAATCCCCAATCTGCCATGGAAACTCCACTGAGTGATGTTGGACCAGTCACACATTCACAACCTAATCACCTCACAGGGTTGTTGTGAGGATAAAGTAGGGAATGGAAATAATGTAAGCTACTCTGAGCTCCCAGGAAAATCAGGATAAAAAAGGACTAGATGGAAACACAGGAAACAAAAAAAAGGATAAAAATTAGATCCAAATGCATAAAATTACATAAAAATTATATAAAGAGGAAACAGTAACTAACAAAAGGCAACTATTTATTTAAATTATTTATCTAGCAAAACCTTTTGATGTCACTCTTGCGGAGGAGTTATGTTCTACCAACCCACCCACCCCTGGTTGTCAACCATTCTCCTAGAGATTACTTCTCTGGGAGTGATGTTCCTGTCTGTGCTTATTGTTTCATTCTCCTAAAGAAGATACTCCTGACCATCATATGGTATATAAAAAAATCAGAACTGAAAAGCTAACATCTCTTTATTTTAGCTGCTGCATCAAAATAAAGCAGCTATTGTAATGTTAACTAGTCATTTCTACAAAGGGTCTTGATGCAATTTTTATTTCTTTTTTTGTTTTATTAAAAAAAAATTATTTCTGAGCCATTTTTCAACTCGACACTACCTTGAGCATTGACAGGCGAATTAGTTATAGAAGATTAAACATCTCCTTATCCTACCTTCTGCCAACAATACCAATAGGATAGCTCCTTATCGCTACTATTTTCTGTATGGCATATCATATGACCTCAGTACCTTAATCAAGCTTTTAAAAAAGGTACTACCTCTTGGAAGTGGAAAAGGGGGAAAAAATACAGGAAAGTTATCTTCACCAAAGCATCAACACAGGGCTATTTTTGGGCAGGAACGCACAGGAATGGAGTTCCAGCTGGCTTCAGAGTTGGCCACACCCACTACAGCCAGACCTCTGTGTGTGTGGGTACAGAGGGAAGGCCTGGAGAGCAAACCCCCCAGCGACTCCGAGGCAGGCCGTCCCTGGCCTGTCCAAGGACTGGCTTGCCCGGTGGTTCCACAGCCACAGAGCGCCCGGGCAAGCCAAGGGAAGGCATGAGGTGTGGCCTAATATGCTAATAAGCTGTGTTGTCGGGGGTGTGAGTTTCTGCTGTTGGGTGTGGCGTATTATACTAATGAGTTCCTGCTGGGCTTTTTCTACAAAAAAAAGCCCTGATCAACATAATGTAGCTACTGTAGGATTAAGTATTTATGTTCACAGTATAAGACTTTTCTTTTTTTCTTGTCGATATCTTGACACACAGAGCTACAGAGGATGATTGAATGAAATATCATATGCCGTATGAATGAAATATCATATGCCGTATGAAGCAACAAGAGTAGGGGAAGGCATTCTTTGGGGGTAGGGACTTGGGTTTACAGAAACTTTGGTTTTTTAAAATTAATTTCTTGCAATAAACTTGCATTTCACAGGCAGCAACTTTACATGCCGTGGCAAAAAGTCTGGGAATTACACTCGTAGGTCCAACTAGATGACAGAGTCCTTGACTGGCTCTCTATCAAGTGAGTTTCCATTTCTAAATAGCAGCCTTTGGATTAGAACTGTGGGGCATGGGAAGATTAGTGCTCTCCCACATCCACAATGTCTTCTTGACCTCAAAAGACTCCCTAAAACTGTGATTTGCCCGATGAAGGTGGTGCCTATATGTCTTCCCAGTGTAGCAAATATCAGCTCTAGGAAGGTAATTTGTGAATACAGCCGGGGGTGGGGGAGAGTTTATTCTGCACACCGCAATCTCTATCCAAACTGGAGCTTCCCAGTGCTACTATTTAGAATGGAAAAACACACTAGAGATTCAATAACAGATCTTCTGCTGTCTCGACTGGTTTAGCTTCCTAACTGGAGTGCTTTGTGTGTGTGTGTGTGTTCTAATCATGCTCCAGTCACCTCTTTCCTGTCCTCAGTACACTCTTTCTCAAACTTACATTAGGAAGAGTACAGTCCAAATGCATTATCTCATGGCCTACATGGGAAGATGGCTATTTTCCAAGGTCCCAGCCACAATGGTGCTATTTTTGTTTCTTGCAGGTGCTTTCCCCCCCACTGCAGCACTGGAAGGCTTTTTTAAAAAAAATTTGTAATTACTAAAGTGCTATAACACTAAAAGCCCTACAACAGTGCAGCAGGGGTGGGGGGGGATGGAGGGAAAATGGCAGCTGAAAGAGGAAAGTGCACAAAAAACTCTTGTGTGGTAGGCCTGTTGCCAATGTGAAGCCTCTGCCCTGGGAAACAGGGCCTCCAGGTGACTTAGTAATATTGGGAAAAGGGCACAAGGTAAAATGTTTAAATCTTACCCAACACTAGTTCTTATCTAAACCCCCGTTTAAGAAAGTTTAAAGAGATGGGAGATCTAAGCATGGATTTCCAATATCTCATTCAGCTTGGCCCCAGTATTCATAGTAGGGTTGCCAAGTCCTACCTGTTGCTGCAGTGGGGGACTCCCAGCTCACTCCTGGAGTGCACGCGCGCACCGCAACCACGTCACCCAGAAGTGACGCAACCACGCCGGGCTTGCTGGGGGCGGGGCCATGACCATCCGAGGGGAAACCATAGAGTTTTCCCTCGGATGACTGTGGCCCCGCCCCCAGCATGCCCGGTGTGGTTCTGGGTGACTTCTGGGTGACGTGCACTTCTGGGTGACGTGCACGTTGCGTACTTTGGGGGTGGGGTTCCCCCCTGGGGCCCGATTCGCCGACGGGGGGACTTGGCAAGCCTAATTCATAGTGGTAATACACGTAATATAAATCACCATGCAACTGTAATTATAAGACACCTACTACAAAGAAGTATTTTCTAGGCTCTGCTGCTAACAGAGATGGAGCGAATTACAAGTATATCGAAGAGGTTAAAGAATGGTGAAGTTGTACCCAAGCTCCATCTGGTCCAAATAGTTCTAAGAAGTTCCCAATAAATTCTCTGGACTTCTCTTCCCATTTCTGAATGAGATCGTGACTTTTTTCTTCCACTCGATTCACAAATTCTTTAGATTTTTCTTCAACATTCTTGACTTTTTCCTTCATTTTGTCTACCTGATTCTGAAAACGGTATTTCTTTTCCTAGTAAAATAATATAAACAAATCAAAAAGCTGCAAAGCATGAAAAAAAACTTGACTGTGCTGAAAGTATTACCTAGCCAGCAAGTAATCTGAATAGCATTACTGTTAATTCTAAATATTCAGTATGCAATCTGAAAACACCATGGGGCTGCTGAATCCTGCTAAGAGTAACGGTTTAAGAAAATTAAATGTATTTATCCATAGTTTTTTCTTTTGTTCTATGGGAAAAGGAGAGTTGCTTTATTAGATAACATTGCTTCATCTTATTACAACAAACAGTTGTGTGGTATCAGTCCTATTTTACTCATTAACCACAATGAGGCAGGAAACTGAGGGGGTGGAATACCAGACTTGTGTCACTTCATACTACAAAAATGTGTAGTAAAGCAGCCTATCAAGAAGAAAGGTTTAGGGTAGCCCTCTTCCTGAAGCATTAATTTATTATATACTTGGAGGATGATGTTTTAAAATTATTTATTGCACGAGTGAGAACTGAAAAAAATTAACAGCCTATAACAGTACAGCTCACAGTTCTTCTTAGTCTACCATCTCATTCTATGTAACAAGCAAAAAGGCTTGGCCTTTGGTGGTGGTGGGGAAATCGTCAGCTTCTTGTTTTTTGCCTTTCGGATGGCAATTCAGTATATTGTTTTTGTTTTGTTTTTTTTAACTTCCGGAGCTAGTGCAAATATAGATGGCAGAAGGGTTTGCTGGGCTTGCTCAAAGGAGTATCAAAGTGCTGTTTCCACGACTGCTAGGTGAAAGAGCCAGGAGGGACAGCATAATGAAGGCAGGCTGGCTGGCATAGTGGTTGCCCATTTTGAATTTCAGTCCATATTTTCCCATGTGCCAGCTACGGTCTTCAGCCTGCCACCTGATGGCTGTTTTCCCACTTAAGGTAGTGTCACTGACATCAACCTGAGTCTGGGCCATCTCCACTGTGGCTCCCACTCTGTGGAACGGTCTCTCTGAAAAGAGGGAGGGCTGCTCCCTCATCTCTAGCACATCAAAAGGTCCGTTTGCCACGGCTTTTGATGGTCATGAAGAGCAGGCATCTTTTTCGGTGGGAAGGGAGCAATTTGAGGTTTGTTATTTTATCTTGGTTTTACCTTACTATGTTATAATTATTATTGTAAGCTACTCTGAGCCAAGAAGAAAGGTGGGTTTAAACATTCTAATAAATAATAAAATGCTGTGCTTTCTTTGTTCTCCCTGGAAGCCACAGAACTGAAGAATGTGCTACTGTTGTACAGAGTGGGCAAAGGACAGCTTTTAGTAAGAATTAGCGAGAAGAGGGAAAATTAGAATTTTTTTTATTGGGGTGGAATGAGAGCGTTAATGAACTGAAGACATTAAGTGCAGGTGAACTGATTTAGGGGGGATCTGGCACAGAAGTTAATTTAGACAGATTAACAAAAAAGGAAATTAATTGGGGGGAGCACACTGATACTTGAGGTGCAGACACCACCTCTATACTCTGTAAGTGAGTTGTCTCCTTTGAGTCCAGTACTCTAACAGTGCTAAGCCAAAGGCCTGTGGAAACCTACAGTCAAGACAGCAATAATCTTTTCCTATTATCTGACCCTAAGCATGTTCAGAAGTATACTGCCTCAGAATATGACATCCCATTTAGCTATTATGGGAGAGCTGGCTTCCAGCAGTAGGAGCAGTCTGAGGTGGAACGAGCTAAGTGAAGATACAGTAGGAGAGGCTTGGACACTGTAGACATTGCAGGTGATAAACAACAGACGGAGTGTTCAACTGTGGGCATCTTATGCCTTCTTTCTACCCTATCTCCCAATTTTAAGCAGATGGTGTTCATGGAGGAAAATATGCAGTGTTTCTGTAACCCACTTCCCCAATCTGTCTTGACATCTGTCCCTTGGAAGTTGGAATCTTTGAAGGAAATGCTGGGGTTACCTGCAGAGCCGAGCATATTTTTCTACTGATCTCTCAGGGCCAATTTACGGTTCTGTGATTTGAACTCTGGATACATTGTTTTGGCCCTAAAAGTCAGGTCCCCAATATGGATTTGTGGCCACTGTGCTGAGCAAAGAGGGAGCTGACAGTTTCACCTGCATTATTTCCTCAGTTTAAAATGCCCCTCAACTGCTTTTCCTTATAAAGTTTCAATGGTGTTATACACAGTTTGGCCCTCAGAGTCCAGAGAAGAAGGGATGCCTTCAGTTATTGTGTGTCCCAAAGCAGAAACGTGATTCAAAACCTGCTGCATAGAGGATCATTGTGAAGGGAATTATAGCCTATGTTCATAATAGAAACCAAAGAAAGTTTTCAGGCATTAAAGGCATATATGATGCATACATTTCCCTGTGTAGGTCCATATTGGTCCATATTTTGATTTTTCCAAATTTACACATGCTGGAAAATTGCTGCTGGCAATGGGTGTGTATATGCCTAGTAGAACAGTCATAGGTAATCTTAATATACAATGACAATTCCCTCCCCCTTGCGTGTTCATAAAGGCAAAAACTTCACATCTGAAGCATTCAAACTGTAAATGTGACACAGGAATGGGTAATACTGACTTCTTCTGAAGAGCACTAAAATTAATGAATACTGTCAAACAGAATGCAAAACTTGTTCTCTTTCCATTCACCCCCTCATTTCTTCTAATCTAATTTAGGCTTTGAACCTAAGTCCAAAGAAATAAAAGACTGATGCACTTACATTTATAAAACTAACATTCAGCTCTTTAGCAGTGTATCCTCTCTGAAGATTACGACGGGCGTACACATCATAATCACGTACGATTCTGGTGATAATATCTGACGTTGAGATGCCTTCTGTTCTCTGAGTTGGTACAAACATTCCTGATTAAAAGGAAGAAGGAAAATTGAGCTCTGAGGTTGTCTCTCACTTTCACACACACTTCCCTGTTTGTTTCAGAATGACCTGGTTGTGGTAGCCGATTTTTAATTAAAATATCTAATTGCTATGGCTGTCAGAATAAACTAGTTCTGAGCCTTATTTGACAAGCCACTGATTGAAGGTCATGGCATTTGTCTCTGTGTCAGGTCTAGGTATTCTTGGTAACCATACATACACAAAGACTATGTTACTAACTTTGAATATGCACTCATTATTATGGACGTAGTAAGTATTCATAATTTTGAACAAAATACATACTGATAAAATGAAGGGCCTACCTATGGTGAAGCAGCCTCAGCATACTAAGTGATCAATTATGTTCTTCTTGTTTGAAAAATACATATTGAAACAAGTTACTAATTCAACACATAGTTATTACCTCTTCTGAAGCAAATGGCCACGTACATTCTACAGTCTATGCTGAATTCCTTTACACAATGCTGAGGCCCTAAAGCTATGTCAAGTTTGAAGCTCCATCAAATTACCAAAAATTTATATTTTTAACTAATTATATAAAACTTGAAATGTAGTACTTTTAAAATTTTACTGGCTGCTCATAATCTGGGGTTGTAAACAGTAGTTTACTTAACTTAAATCCAGCTCTGAGTTCCCCTTTTAAACCATAGAGTAAACACTCTATGTGATGCCAGCAAGACCCCTTAGAGACTGAGGAAAGAACCCTGATGTTTTTGTCATGTTTCATAACACTACTGACCAATAGCTCCCAGGAGGGTTGCCAGCCCCCAGTTTGGAGTGGGGGATTTCCTGCTTTTGCGGGCTCCTTCCCGCCTCTGGCCAGCTGGCTGATGGGAGGAAATTCCCCCTAACAGAACGTTGAACACACAGCGTGCAATGTTACTTCCGGTGACGGCAGCACATTGGGGGTGATGCTTCCAGCTCCCAGAGCATCTCCCCTATTCCCACACCAGCTTCTCAAAGGGACCTGGCAGCCCTAGCTCCCAGTGTTGCTATGATATCATGTTAGATAAATATGGATGAGGAATGAAAAAGGTGATTAACAGATATTCTGAATCCTCCGTCAAAATTTCCTCTTTGAAGGTAGTGGCAATCAAAGGGATAAATGATATTTTGCGTCTTTTTAATCTTCAATTCCCAAATGAGGCAAACCCCAGCTCAGTAGCTTGAATCATATTCTCCTTGTGGCTTGGGGAGTAAGATTTAATTACTTCCCTTTTCAGCACTGTTGTGTTGATAACAGCTGAAGTTAAAGAGGTGTCAGCAGGAGGCTTAATTTGTTCTCTTGGGTTCAATTCTGAACCCAATAAAGACAGCAGAAAGGCTCTTTCTCCTTAAGAGGAAAGGGAGTTAACTACTTCAGAATTCAGAGGACCATAGCATGTTGTGACTAAAATGCACAGAAGAGAAGCTAACAAAGACCTAAGTATTAGTATGAAATCAAGTTGATGTTCATATAATGGTACAGTGAGGACTGAAACATCAGGGAGGGAAAATCAAATTTGGAGTACAATGAAGATTTGGGGTACAAGAAACACAGAGCTTTGCCCATTCTGTCTCCTTCTTCTATTATGTGATGTGATGTCATCAGACTGTGCATTTCCCCACCCGCCCCACTACTAACAGCCAATGATGTGAAATGAGGACAGGGACTGCACAACATAATGAACTCACATTATGTAATATACAACATGCACCAGAAAGAGGGGAGAAGAAACAAACAGCAACAGCAGGTAATGTTTCATGTAACATTTAGTTCTGCCCAATGAATGACTAGTTTCTGTAATTTCAGAAAGCTTGAATTTTCATGCCTCCTTAGATCCCCCCCCCCATCATAGGAAGTATGTTTAAAAAGAGGAGAGCCATGCCCCAGGCTTTAGTTACAGAATATACAAGCGGGAGACCCGCAAGAACTTGCAGGGGGCATATCTTTTCCCCCTCCCCCACTATTTCCTCTTTCCC